ACTGGTGTGGGCCTTGGTCTTACGATCAGGTATGCTTCTAGAAAATGTTTTTCCAGTAAATAATTTGTAGTATTCATAAACATCATATCGTTTAATTAAATTATAGCATCAAATGGGTTGGTTTTTTTACAACTGTTTTTATTGGTCTTTTGACAATAAAAGATCTATGGGATTTGTTGGGTGATTTACATTTGCCTCCAGTATGTAAAATCATATTATTGCTACATGTAACACCATTTAGTTTTAACATATCACATTCTCGTAGATAAGATGGGCAAAACATTTTCTTGCTCGAATACTGTGTTTATTGGTTATTCCCGTCATTTTGTATATGTTTGTCTTTGCGATTCACTTTTCAATACTTGAAAATAGTGGTGATGATGCTATATCCATGAGTCCTGAATTCAGACATACATTAAATGGACATGGCATGAATGATACGCCTATAGGTTGTTACATGTATTTTTTTTCTTAACTTTATTTTGAGAGTTCCTTTTATTCAGAATTCATAAAATTTTGTTTCAGATGTTGGGTACGGGTCTACAATTACTCTTCGGCATTTCAATACACGAGGTGGTTATTTACATTCCCATAGGCATCATTATCCCTCGGGTAGCAAACGTGAGTATTATTTTACTTTTGCTTAAAATAAATGATAGAATTTTCACTCATCAAAAGTTGATTTGTTTAGAACAACAGGTTACTTTATATCCGTTTAAAGATGAAAATAATTTCTGGATCATCCAAAAAGAAAGTGATCCTAAAATACCGTTCGAAACTATCAATCCATCCTGGATTTATCATAATGCATTAATTCGTCTCTCTCACGTTTTGACTGAAGGGTGGCTACATAGTCATGACATCAGACCACTAGTGACAGATTCTGACCATCAAAACGAAGTTAGGTGAGAAGATTTAATAATTCCATGTGAAAAAAACATTGTTTGCTCATTTTTATTTTAATAAATATTCTCTTAGTGTTTATGGGAGTAAAGGTCATTCAGACAGCAACGATTTATGGCGTGTAGAAATAGTGGATCATGACAAATCTGATCCAGATTCTAATAGGCGTTTACGTGCAATCCACACAAAATTCCGACTTTTTCACATTAATACCGGGTGTTATCTTTTCTCTCATAATACTAAATTACCAGAATGGGGTTTTAGGCAACAAGAAGTTACCTGCGGAAAAGGTGCAACATATATAAATACTATATGGTATATAGAAACAAATTCTCACCCAAAATGTAAGTGATTACTTTTTTTTGATATCTGCTCTTTTATCGATTTATGGTTATAATACATTTCTTCGTTAAATCATTATTTATTAGTATCAAGCGACACCAAAATGGTCAATTATAAAAAACTCGGATTCTTTGGGAAATTTATTGAGCTTAATAAAGTGATGTGGACAAATTTTAAATCTAATAGTCTTCACCCTTATCTGTCCCATCCTTTGTCATGGATATTGTTGAAGCGCGGTATCGGTTTTTGGGATGAAGAACATCATCAAATTTATTTAATTGGAAACCCACTTATATGGTGGACTTCTACGCTTATCGTGTTTATTTTTGTTGTTGAGAAATTGATTACAATTTTAAGAGTAAAAAGAGGATATATTGATCGATTTAGTGGTAAGATTACCTTATATTCTTTTTAAAAACGAATGTATATGTATGCTTGACTAATCGTGAATCAAATAATTCGTCTTTTTTATTTGAATTAGTTAAAGGAGAGCATTTTGAACCATGGTCCAATGTGTTTCTCATTGGATGGTGTTTACATTATTTACCATTTTATTTAATGTCTAAAGAATTATTTTTACAATATTATTTTCCTTCATTATATTTCGCGATCCTTTTAATTGGTGTAGGATTTGATTTAATAACAGATCGTTTTAATCCTAAAAATCGAACAATTATTGTTACAATATTTTTGATAGCAAGCATTTATATTTTTATTTTATTTTCACCTATAGCTTACGGTAACACATGGGAAAAATCTAGTTGCGATAATTCAAAATGGTTAAGCAGTTGGGATTATGATTGTGATCTTTACGTTGGTAGTCATTTGACCAGGAACACTAATACCACCGGTATTGAAATTACAAACCCAGAATTTTCAGATATTAGGGCATTTGATAAACGGGCAGTTGAAGCTGAGGATGATGAAAAAGAGGAGCAATGCCAACAAGAAGTACAAGGTTTAGAGGCGAACGTTGAGACAAATAAAGAAAAACGATGTTTTCCCAGAATGGCACATCCCAAGGATTTTAGGGCATTTTTAAGTGCAACGATATAGAACCACAACCATAGGGTTGAAAGAATTGCATCATCAGCAAAAAATGACCAAGAGATGTTACCCGTTATATAAATGCTTATAATGTAATATAGCACATTTATTTATATTTCAAAATTATTCACAATTTTATTAGAAATACATAGATTTATGGCAGATCAAATATCATGTGTAGTCAAATTTAAAATAAATTATTTAGGCAATATACATTATCATTATAAAGTTTTCATTCAACAATATCTTAAAATATATTATTTTCATTATTTTATTTGTTCATTATTAAAATTATTGTCAACACATAAGTACTAAAACAATACATACTCCTAAACAATACATCTAAAATACAACTGCTGCTGTCAACACATAATACAACATCTCAAAATGCTAAATGTATATGCGTATGCAATTAGTTAGAGCAAAAAAAAAGTGAAATTGATTTTTTTGCAATTAGTATAAATAAATAATATGCATATTTTTTTTTGCTATTTTTTTCTTTTTTTTTTTCTTTCTTTTTTATCCTTTTTTTTTTTTTTTTTTTTTTAGGTGTGAAGACCTCAATTTCTTTCAAATTTTTTTTTTAAAAGGAGTGAAATGAAAGAAATTTAAATCTTAGTCATATTCGCATTTTTTTTTTCATTTTCATCATTTTTCCTCGCTCTTTTCATCATTAAGAATTATAACGGACTCCTGCAACTTACTTTTCGAATTCGCTTTCTTAATACCCTTTGTTTTTCCGGGTTTTCCAAGCGAACTACCATCCTTACTAACCCTCCTTTTCAACCAACCTAACACACCACCAGGATGTGAAGATTTAGATAAGGAACTGTTAACTGATCCGTTCGTGCTTCCTGCTGCACTTACATTTTTCATACCGCTCGAACTTAAATTTATAGTAGAGTGACTTTCACGATTTTGGTAGTGTTCCGCAATCTCATTTGAATTAATATTTTGACTGTTATAACTTCGATTATGTGATAATGCCCTGATCTTTCTAGAGCTATCACGTTTTCTTATATGTTGATATGGAAATGGTAATGATGAATCCAATGATGCTGTAGATGTGTTTGAGGTTGAACTTATTTGTTGAAGCCTTGTCTCGTTTTCATTAAGTGTGTTTGCTGATGTTTCAGTGGTTGAATCTTCGACATTAGTTGTATCTGGAACTGGTATCTGTGATGACCAAGACATTCGATGTTTCCTTCGTGAAGACGACATTGATGTAACTGACGATGGAGGTGTTTTGATTGATTGTGATGATGTGCTTGATTTGCTTCCTTGCTGATATGATACAATAGATGGTGATAATGAGGACACTGATAACGGGCGTTGTGTAGTTGATCTTAAAGTAGAAGGTTTATATGATGATGGAGGTGATGATAATGCACGTCTTCGAGATCCTTTAGTCGATGCTTGTGTGGTTATTCTGCCATTACGTTTGTGGTTCAGATGGTGTTGATCCATCTGAACCGCCCCGAGTCAACTGATATCTTCCTGCAATGAAATGTCATCTCGAGCATCATTATCTTCTACATCACTGAGATTAGTATCATTTTCTTCTATTATTCTAGGTTCTTTTTTGTTGGTTGCTATTTCATTATTAGAGTTTTTCTTTGTTATTGAAGTAGAAAAGTATCCTTGGGATAAAATCTCTCTTGCAAGTTCTCGTATTAACACAGCAGGATCTTCTCTGCTCATACGAGAAGTGATCTCAAATAATCCATATCGTTCAGCTATAGCTTCACGCTGTGGATGTACATCACATATAGATCTTAATATTCTTAACAAATTTAGTCTTACGACTGGTTTTGGATGTCCGAGTCGGTGTAATAAACGCTTAAAGAATTTTGGCTGTGCGAGTGCAAAGGCGATAGATGTTGATAATTGAGTAATTATATGCAATGGTTCCAGGATATTCTCAAATGAATTCGCCTTAGCCATAATGAACGCTTCCAAAATAAGTTCAATATTTTTGGGTAAAAGAAGTACGGATTCAACTTTTGATGTTTCTTCTTGGATCCATGCAAGAATAGCTTCTAAAGCATTCACCTGATAGAAAGGATCAACTAATAAATCAAGATAAAGTTGTAAAATGTTATGTTTCCATAACAAATCTCTACAAACTTGTCCAGTATGGGCCATGTCACAAAGTATTGGTAATGCAAACTGCTTAAGAGGTGTTTTGTTAGATGCAAAATATTTTAAATGGGGAATAATTCCAACCTTGGCAGCTTCTTCTTGTCTTGATTTATTAATTCGGCAAAGATTAAACATTGTGTTAAGTACTTGATTTGAAATTTCAGTCACATAAGGTGGTCCTTGTTTATCTAAGATTGCAGTAAGAACTTGAATTGCCTTTGCTTTTTGTAAAGCTTCTAAAGTATTTGAATTCATTGAAATATTCTTTATACATTTAAGCATCGCTACAGTAAGGTTTGGTGATAATTTGTCCAAATTATCAAATATTTTAGTGACAATCCTTGTCCGTGTTGCCATGACTTCTTTAACATATGCATCACCCTGCGAGAACATTAAAAATATATTAACGATTCTCTCTACATATACACCAGCCGATGGATCCTTATCCGAAATTACGTGATGAAGCATGACAGCTAATGGGTCCAATAATCCATTTTTCGCCAGTAATCTACAAAAATCATTTTTCGGAGTTGGACTCTGGAGTTCAAATACTCCATATATTCCATTCACCGCTATCCATACTAATTCCTTATGTTCGTTATAATCCTCTTGTAAAAATTCGACAAGAACTTTTAAACCTCGACAAGAAATAAACATTTGAAGAATAACAGGTGAAGTATGACAAATCTGACGTATAAATATTGCAGCTTCTACACGAATTTCATAAGGATATCGTTTCGAAGTAAAGTTCATAATGACGGGTATCCCACCCACAAGACAGAGATTCTCTTGAAGATTAATATTACTTGCAATAATGATATTAACTATTTTGAGTAATCTTGAAAGAACGCTTGCATACGAACATATTTCTAGCATTTCTATGATCGGAATTACACCATGAAAGATGATAAAATGGTTTTTAAGCTCTTTATGTTCCGTCAATAAATCAATTATTTGAACACATGAGATTACCAATCGATCTTCGCTTTCATTAGGATGTAAAGCATTGATTAGCTCTTCCAATCGCGAACAAGCGCGCGCATATTTATCTCTGGCAATATGTACATTTATATCCATTTCATCAAAATTTTCCTCCATCTCAGCAAAAGGGTCATCTTCATCACTATTGTCGTTTCCAAACCAGCTATTACTTGAAAGCAGTGTGTTTAATTTCAACGTATTATTAAAACCGTCTTCTTCATCTTCACCAAATGCTTTATTATAATCATCATCATCTGATTCATAATATTGTTGAATTTCATTTGAATTTTGTGAATCTTCTTGATTTCCCTCAGGAGACAATATTGGAAGTGGCATTACAACTCTATTAAAAGCTTGCTGATTTGGAGACATTTCGATCTGAGACACCGGCTGAAACAAGTTAGTTCTCCTCGATGGTAGACTGGTTGCTGTCGCAGATACCGTCGACGATGTCGATTTGTGTGTTGGTAATGGTGGGAGTGGTCTACTGCCCCTGACAGCTGTTCCGTTCTGAGAAGAATTAATTGGACTTGGTATAGAATTGGCACTATGAGCGCGAGTATGATGTTTAATTATCGATTTTAATGCTGGATTTTCTGGTCTTGTTTTATTATTCTTTGATGAATCTATGAATTTGGCAGTTGGCGAAACAAGTGGTGGTTTGGCCAGAGACACTTTGGTGCCTTCTATGTTATTTGATTTGTTTAAATTTTTTGATTTTATATGAATAACTGTATCCTGCATGGATTCCCAGC